TCATCTACTTCCTCCACATCTGGATTGGAGGTGGAGGGCCCTCTGACTCTAGCCTGGTTTGGAAGGATAAATGGAGGGGAGCTGGCTGTGTAGAGGAGAACAGGGACTGGCCAGGGTGAGTGTCCCCCACTCAGAGCCTCTGACATCTGTGTGCCCCATCCTGGATTTCTGAGACCCAAGACCCCTAGTCTGGACCAGTGCTCTGATCCACAAGGGCCCTGGCTCCATTCTGCTCCACGCTCTGCCAACTGGATCTGTCAGGGTTCACATTGCCCCCTCTTCACTCCTTCCAGATGCTGAATCTGCTGGTGCTGGTACTGCCCCTCCTGTCCAGCATGGTCCATGGGGCCCCTGGTGAGTCCTGCCCTCGGCCTGCCCTTTCCTTGCCCCCTGCCCCCTACTCCTGGCTGCACAGGCTGGGGCAGGTGGACTCTGAGAAGCCCAGCATTGTCCCAGGCAGGGGAGGGCTGATCCAGGATGGGCTGCACCCTGGTGCTGAGGGTGCTCCCTGCCCCAGCCCCAGGCCCAGCTCTGGAGCGAGTGGGCATTGTTGGAGGACAGGAGGCCCCTGAGAGCAAGTGGCCCTGGCAAGTGAGCCTGAGATTCTACAAAAGATACTGGATGCATTGATGTGGAGGCTCCCTCATCCACCCACAGTGGGTACTGACCGCTGCTCACTGCGTGGGACCGTGAGTCTCCATGGGACTGTGGGGTGGGGTGAGGGCCTGATTTACCCTGTGGCCTCAGATGCTATGGAGGCTCTGAGGTTGGGGCCACTTTTGTCCTCCTGAGCAAGACTCTCCTTTCCCAGAAAATTCATAAGCCCAGAGTTCTACCGGGTACAACTTCGCCAGCAGCACCTTTACTACCGAGACCAGCAGGATCATCCCTCACCCCAACTACTATACTGCCCAGGACGGGGCGGACATTGCCCTCCTGGAGCTTGAGGATCCTGTGAACATCTCCAGCCATGTTCGCCCCATCTCCCTGCCCCCTGCCTCGGAGACCTTCCCCTCAGGGACACCGTGCTGGGTGACAGGCTGGGGCGATGTGCATGATGGCGGTGGGTGGCTGGGACAGCTGAGGGCTTGGGCAGGGGAGCACGAGACCACACCATGGTCACAGCCTTGGGGGTTCCCTTTGTGGAACAGGGAAGGGCGCTGATCGACCCCCTCCTGATGCTGCTCCCTCTTCTTTCACCACAGTGTCCCTCCCACCACCGTTTCCCCTGCAGCAGGTGAAAGTCCCAATTGTGGAAAACCACCTTTGTGACGCACAGTACCACACAGGGCTCTACACAGGGGACAGCGTTCGCATTGTCCGTGATGACATGCTGTGTGCTGGGGACAAAGGGCACGACTCTTGCCAGGTGGGCCCTTGTCCCCCGCATCTCTGATGTGGGCCTTGCCCCAGGCACTGACTCTTGTTCTCCCCAGGGTGACTCTGGAGGGCCCCTGGTCTGCAAGGTGAAGGGTGCCTGGCTGCAGGCGGGCGTGGTCAGCTGGGGTGAGGGCTGTGCTCATGCCAACCGGCCAGGCATCTACACCCGTCTTACCCACTACTTGGACTGGATCCACCGCTACGTCCCCAAGGTCCCCTGAGCCAGGTTGGCAGGGTTGCCACCCTGATCAGAGCATCACTAGTCCTCTCCTGCCTCAGCACACTGTTTCCTTCCCAGGTGGCATCACCCCACCTTCCCAATCCCCCTACCCCAGCCCTGTGGACCCGTCTACCTGCCTCCCAGCCTTTAGGTGGCAGATGCTAATTTTCCTGGCTGGTGTGTCTCATTAAAGCGCACAGAAAGCATCATGGTGGTCATTGTTTTTTTTTTTTTTTTTGGCTAAGGGCATCTCTAGGGAAGAAAGGGGTCCAGGTAGCGACTGGGTGCAGTGGCTGTAGCTATGGGATTAAACTCAGGGGCGCACTGACCCACATCCCAGCCCTATTTTGCATTTTCTTTAGAGACAGGGTCTCACTGAGTTGCTTATGGCCTCACTTTTGCTGAGGCTGGCTTTGAACTTGGAATCCTCCTGCCTGAGACTCAGTTACAGGTATGTGCCACAGTGCCTAGCTCACTGGTTTGTTTCTGTGTGGTGTGGGAGGTAGAACAACGTGGGCAGCTGAAGGGAGCAAGGTAGAGGACAGAGAGCACCCGTGGCCAGGTGGAGAGAGCATGGGCAGCTGCAGAGCCCAGTCCCACCCACCTCTCCACATCCTAACCACCTGCAAGGTGCCTCTGTGTAGCTCCAGTGTTCTCTGGTCTGCTTGGAGCATCTCCAGGGCTTGCCCCCACCCTGAGTGCTGCCCCTGTGACAGCTGAGTGCAGCAGGGGTCATTCCTTCTCCCTGCCATGCAGGGCCCTGCGTGGCAGCCTTGTCCAGCTGCTGCAGTTGGGCTTTGGGGTTTCCGACTCCAGGCCCTCAGGCCTGGGGGGCTGAGCTGTCCAGACATGCAAGGTGCCCAGCATCTGGCAGGTTTGGTGAGGGCAGTGGCTGGGCACAGGGTGCCTTCTCCTCCTGTTGGGTCTGCATATGTGTTCATGGGCGTAGCAACCCACCTGTGCTTCCTCATCCTTCCTTCCGCCTTCTGTACATGCAGTGGCAGAAACCCTCCTGTGAGGTTTATTGTGTTTTTATGATTATGAAAGAGGGCAGTGCTTTCTTGCAAGGGGCCTTGCTCCACACCTGGATCCTGGTGGGGCTGTGAGCTCCATTGTCCCCTTCTGGGGTTGAGCTGGCGCCCTGAGGGCTCTTCCTTCACCCTGGCCTTGCGCCCTTCCCTGTGGCACTCCTGTTCTGTGCTGCTGTCAGGCTGGGTTGCATGTCATCCAGTCTCCTGGGATTAGGCTCCATAAGCTCCGGGTGATTCTTCCTGGCTCCTGGCCAGGATGCAGGGTTCCCCAGATGTCCAACCCTGCCTTCTCTCCAGGCACACAGTATGTCGTGTGCAGACCATGAGCTGGCCCCTTCTTCCCACAAACAGTGCACATATGAGAGCTCGGGGACAGATGGGGCCCAGGTGTGCCTACTGGGGACCCTCTGTTTGGCACTGACCCTTT